AAGCCGAGGACTCCCTGCAGTCCCGTGGGCTGCAGGGGCTGGTGTGGATGCCGGCAGATGCAAATACCAAACTAACTTGGATCTCAAAGGAGTAATAATAATAATAATAATAATAAAGTTGGGAGGGACCTTGGAGGTCATCTAGTCCAACCCCCTGCTCAGGCAGGAAACCCTACACCATTTCAGACAAATGGCCGTCCAGTCTCTTCTTAAAAACTTCCAGTGTTGGAGCATTTACTGCTTCTGGAGGCAGGTTGTTCCACTGGTTAATTGTTCTCACGGTCAGGAAGTTTCTCCTTAGTTCTAGGTTGCTTCTAAAAGCCGCCGGCTTTTAGATTCAAAGTCTCTGCTCCAGGCTGAACCCAGCCAAACTTCCCATCTCGCCAGCTTCCTCCCTAGCGGGGAGGCTGGTGTTTCTCCCTCTGATCTTCCGTTTGAAACTGGGCTGCTATTAATATTGGATTGGCTCAGCAAGCAGGCACAAAGGGAGAGAAAGAGCAGCCAGCTCTGCGCCGCAAGGTCACCGCGCTCAACGGAGAGCAAAGCCACTCGGAGTGAGCGGAGAAGGAGGCCTCCCGCCGAGGGACACCGGAAGGCCATCCTCCCAGGAGGGGCCTGGGGGGGACTCAAAAGGAAAAACCCACCGGTTATCCCTTCCCCCCCCCCAAAAAAACCCCAACTCATCCCGTTCCACAGCCGGCCATGTTGCAGAAAAGGGGACCCTCTAGGACAGTGTTTCCACATTGCTGGCTGTGGAATTCTGGGAGTTGAAGTCCACATGCCTTAAAATGGTCAAGGTTGAGAAACACTGCTCTAGGATTATTCTCCCATCGCAAGGCTCGGTTTTTTTTTTTTTTATTAAAACGTTTTATAAAAAATTACTGTATACACCCCAAAACCCCCTCACCCTAAACCCCCCCCCTCCCTCCCCCCACTTCCCAGAGCTGAGTACAGGGTGACAAATATAATAATCAAACTCTAACCGACATTAACCAACTATATAAATAACCAAGTCCATAATGCGCTTTAACTCCCCGTTAACATAGGTATAAACAAATTAAAAATAATCAAGGCTCGTTTTGAGTGGGGGGGGGGAAACTCATTGGCCATCCTGATCCTTGTCCTCCCAGCCTGGCGAAGGTGGGCCGGGGGGTGGGGGGGTGGGTTACCTGCATGCAGTGATAGTGTGTGCTTTTCCCGTTGAGGTGGCAGCCGTGATAGTAGACGCTGCAGTCGTCCAGGGGGCTGAACCGCATGAAGCCGTGCTGGAGGGAGTTATCCCGTTTCTTGTGCATGTTGTAATGGCGGATCACGTCCTGCTTACTGGTGAACCTCTGAGGGCGAGAGAGAAGCAGGAGAAGGTGAGGGAACGACGCCCGTCCCAGGCGCGGAAAGGCGAAGGCATTCCAGCCAGGAGGCTTTCGCGGCAGAGGGAAAACACGGAAGGGGGGAAAACACCGAACACGGGGACGCAATTCGGACGTGGGCTGACAAGAAACCCTTGCCAAAGCAGGGCTGCCTTTGCGTAACGTGCTTAGCCCATGCGGTGCGTGCAGCGTGCTAAACCTGGATGGCTTAAATCCAGCCCGGCCTTTTTTTTTTTTTTGTGGCACGAGCCAGGGCAGCAAACCTGGTTACTTTCCCGGACCAATTTAACTTATGGGACAGGTGCGCGAATTCGGGAGCCTTGAGTTAATTCTCTTTTGAAAGTAAAGGCAAGGCCTGGTTAAAAGAACAGCCAAGATCACTGACCCTGCAGAAACAGGTGGCCATTGAGTGTTTGGGTGTGGGCTTCCCCCTCAAGGACATTTGCCCAGATTCTCCCCCCCACCCCAAATTGATCACGAATTCTATTCTATTCTATTTTATTCTATTCTAGTTCAGTTCCATTCCATTCTTCTCTACTCTGTTCTGTTCTATTCTATTCTGTTCTTTCCGTTCCATTCTATGTTCTATTCTATTCTATTCCATTCCATTCCATATTCTATTCTATTCCCTTCTCTATTCTATTCTATCCTATCCCATTCCATATTGTATTGTATTGTATTGTATTCTATTCCGTTCATTCCTTTCCATTCCATTCCATATTCTATTCTATTCTATTCTATTCTATTCTATTCTATTCTATTCTATTCTATTCCATTCCATTCCATATTCTATTCTATTCTATTCTATTCTATTCTATTCTATTCTATTCTATTCTATTCTATTCTATTCTATTCTATTCTATTCTACTCTATTCTATTCTATTCTATTCTATTCCCTTCTATGTTCTGTTCTGTTCCATTCCCTTCCATTCCAACACAAGCAGAGAGCCCCCTTGGGTGAGTCCAGCTGCTGGGACAGAGGCGGATCTTCGGAACAGGATTGCCTCTGTATCCAGATGGGGAACTGCACTACCACCACCCTCTTCAAAGCTTTCTCTCTTGGAAAGGAGGAATAAATCTCCATCTGGCTCTATGGCTTTGAGTAAACTTTGCGATATATGCAGGAGCGGCAAAGAAGCTCCAAGGAGCAATTTCCATGGGATTCTGTTGTCACGACACGGCTAATATACAGCCGCTTATTCCGGTGTCTCTAGAGCAGGGATAGTCAACTTTGGCAACTTTTAAGACTTGGCTTAAAATCAACCAAGCTTGGCTGGCTGGGGAATTCTGGGAGTTGAAGTCCACGAGTCTTGAGGTTGCCAAGATTGGACAGCCCTGCTCTAGAGCCAGCCAAAAACCACTGCCAAGCTTTACACTCTCCTGGGTGTGTGTGTGTCAGGCAATCTTTTCTAAAGCAGGGACATTTCTTCGTGTCCCCCCCCCCCAGCTCTTTCTTCCTTAAGGGCTCCTTCCTCAAAGACACACAAATAACACAGTTGGAAGGGACCTTGGAGGTCTTCTAGTCCAACCCCTGCTCAGGAAGGAAACCCTACACCATTTCAGACAAATGGCTGTCCAGTCTCTTCTTAAAAACCTCCAGTGATGGAACATTCACCGCTTCTGGAGGCAGGTTGTTCCATAGGTTAATTGTTCTATTCTGTTCTGTTCTATTCTATTCTTTCCATATTCTATTCTATTCTTTCCATATTCTATTCTATTCTGTTCTGTTCTATTCTTTCCATATTCCATTCTTACCATATTCTATTCTATTCTTTCCATATTCTATTCTTTCCATATTCTATTCTGTTCTGTTCTATTCTTTCCATATTCCATTCTTACCATATTCTATTCTATTCTATTCTATTCTATTCTATTCTATTCTATTCTATTCTATTCTATCCTATTCTTTCCATATTTTATTCTATTCTGTTCTATTCTATTCCTTTCCCTTTTCTATATTCTTTCCATATTCTATTCTATTCTATTCTATTCTATCCTATTCTTTCCATATTTTATTCTATTCTGTTCTATTCTATTCCTTTCCATATTCTATATTCTTTCCATATTCTATTCTATTCTATTCTATTCTATTCTATTCTATTCTATTCTATTCTATTCTATTCTATTCTATTCTATTCTATTCTTTCCATATTCTGTTCTATTATTCTTATTCTATTCCATTCCATCTTTATTCTATTCCATTCCATTCCATTCTTCTGACTGTCAGGAAATTCCTCCTTAGTTCCAGGTTGCTTCTCTCCCTTGCTTGGTTTCCATCCCTTGCTCCTTTGTCCTGCCTTCAGGCACCTTGGAGACCCACCCCCTCCCCAACCCGTTGCTGGATTCCCACTGCCCAAATCCTCACCACCATCCACCCAGACACCCACAGCCTACAAAGCTGGGAGAAACAGACCCGGCTTCCCAGCTGCAATGGGAGGTGTGCCTCCAAAGCAGGAGAACGAACGCCAAGAAATCCAAGAAAGCTATTCCTGGGAATCCCGTCAACCACGCCACCACAGCCCTAAGGACCGGTGCAGGGAGGGGGGAGGCAGGGGCCTGACTACAAAAAAATGGCCCAGTCAAAGCCAACCCTGAGCGCGGGGTGAAGACAGGCAGCACGTGACCCGGTGGAGCCGGCTTGACGACTGGGTCTTGGCACCTCTCCCAGCCTTTCCAACTTCGGTCCCTTCTCCACTTCCTGCTTCTCTCCCACCTTCCTTAATCCCCTCCTTGGCCGGGAGCTACTGAAGGTCATCTGGGGTTCTCTGCCCTGGAGGGGCTACTCAAACACCTTTGACCGGAGCGGGATTAACATCAGCCCCTTGGGAGGAGAGGGCAAAATGAATCCACGTCCGCTCCTTCCATCCTTCTCCATTACTCTGCCTTTCCGTATTTAAAGAGGGTCGTTCCTTGGAGGGGGGGGGGAAGGCTTACAACGGGAGCGTTTGTAGGAGCTGTGTGACAATTACAGTCCATAAAGAATATCTGGAGCGGTACCAACAAGCTGTTTTTATGAGAAGAATCCACAAACCAGCTTGGATGGCTTTTTCCCTCTGTGCAGCTCTGCCTCGAATTAACCTCCCCGTTTTTATGTTCTTCTGATCTGCATTGCGGCCGAGACCGTCCCTTGCAGTCGCCACTTTGGCAAAAATATTTTGAGATCAAGGAGGGCAGGAATTAGCCGTTGGCGAGAAGCTAATTTGCCCTGGGGGTTTTTGAAAGAGCTCACAGGGTCCAAGTAAGAGGACTCATCACACCTCTGGCTCAAGCCCACCTTCTGGAGAGTTTTCCCACGTGCAAAAAAATCCCCAGGAATTAAAAACAAAAAACCCTCTCTTTGGCAACTTCCCCCAGGAAAAGTCTGGACCAGGGGATGCCAGCCTTGTGTAACAGTCCTGCTACAGTGGGCAAATGACTGCGCTGGATGTTAGGGCCGCTAGATTGGATTCACTAGTCCTGAAGCTGTTTTTATTTTATTTCCCTCTCCCACTTTCAGGGGCTGGCTTCCCAAGACTCTGGGTTTGGACTGTGTTATTTTCTACCTGGTAGTTGCATTCTGGATCAAGGCAGTGATAATGCTCCCGGTATTGGTATGCGCAGTGAATGTGTCCACAATGCTGGCTTCCGGAAAACCTGGATAGAAGAAAGGCAGAAGGTGACAGGGATCAGAAATAAAATGAGCAATGGCATCCCTTTCTCTCTCTCTCTCTCTCACACACACACATCCTCTCTGTTTAGACGTCTGTCAATTTCAAAGCAAGCTTGAACCCTGGACAAGAGCTGGCCTCTTGAAAACTGACACGAAACGGCAATGGATCCCACTCTGCAGGGCTGGCGTTCCTGGGCCAAGAGGTTGCAGACAGGTTTTTTCTCCTCCTCGTGGACCAGAGGAATTAAATACAGATTAGGCGACACCCGGGTCAAAAAACAGTCACGGGGAGAGGGACCTTGGAGTCCTAGTGGACGGTCGCTTTAAACGTGAGCCAGCCGTGTGCGGCGGCAGCCGAAAATGCTAATGCAATCCTGGGTTGTATAAACAGGGGCACAGAATCAAAATCAGCACCGCTTTATAAAGCCTTAGTAAGGTCACACCCGGAATGTTGCATCCGGTTTTGGTCACCACAATTACAAAAGAGATGTTGAGATTTTGGGGAGGGGGGGGGAAGTGCAGAGAAGAGCAACTAGGGTGATTAAAGGCTTGGAGACTAAAGCCCATGAAGAACGGTTGCAGGAATTGGGTATGGCCAGTCTAGAGAAAAGGAGGACTGGTGTGTGTGTGTGTGTGTGTGTGTGTGTGTGTGTGAGACATGATAGCAGTGTTGCAATATTTGAGGGGCTGCCACAAAGAAGAGGGGGGGGTCAACTTATTTTCCAAAGCACCAGAAGGCAAGACAAGAAACAAGAAGAAAGAAGAGAGAAACCTGGAGCAAGAAGTGAAAAAGAGAAGCAAGGGAGAACAGAACAGAACAGAATAAAAGAGTTGGAAGGGGCCCTGGAGGTCATCTAGTCCAACCCCTAGACCGTGTCAGACAAATGCCTGTCCAGTTTCTTCTTAAAAACTTCCAGTGTTGGAGTGTCCACAACTTCTGGAGGCAGGTTGTTCCACTGGCTAATTGTTCTAAGTGTCCTGAAATTTATCCTTATTTCTAAGTTTATATGTATACATACAGACCTCTAAAAAACACAGGATCCCAAAGGAGTGCAGGAGAATTCGGAGATGGGCAGGGGGGCCTCGGCATCCTGGGGCCCACGCAGGTCCCATGCTTCCCATTTTTTACCCTCCCCTCCCTTCCCCCTCCCATTTGGCAGAGTGGAGAAGCGATGCTCGGCTGTGTCACATCAAGGGCAAAGCTGGCGTGCAGGAGGGGGGGCAGGCTTCCAGTTCTGGAGGGGGGGTAGGGAATCTCCCCCCACCCCCATCACCCTTCCCCAGTTAATAGATTCCTAAAGGGCTACCTCTCTCTCTCTCTCTCCTCTTGGCTTTGCCCGACACTTGAAACAGTTCAAGCGATTAATTTTTAAAGGGCAACATCTGCTCAGCTTTGGAAAGCAAAGCTTTGCACATGCTTGCTGACGCCATCTGCAGAAGGGGCGCACACCTGCTGGCCCCCCCACCCCGCCACCCGTATTTTCATCAATGCAAAGCCCCCGGCTTGTGGCCGCGCCCGTGGCATTCAGGACGTTGCTTCCCCTTCAAGACCAGGGGCGGGCGCCATTTTGCAGAAGCGAGATGGGACGACACCAGCGGTGGGATTCAAATAGGAGAACAACTGGTTCTCTGCGTGGATGCCACTTCCGGAAGTCCATTCTGGGCCTGGCCAACAAAAACTTAGTTACCGGTTCTGCCGAAGTGGTGCGAACTGGCTGAATCCCACTCTATCTATCTATCTATCTATCTATCTATCTATCTATCTATCTATCTATCTATCTATCATCTGTCTGTCTATTGTCTGTCTGTATCTATGTATCTATCCATCCATCCATCTATCCATCCAGTGGTGGGATTCAAATATGTGAACAACCGGTTGTCTGCATGGATGCTACTTCCAGAAGTCCATTCTGGGCTTGGGCAACAAAAAAATAGCTACCGGTTCTGCTGAAGTGGTGCGAACTGGCTGAATCCCACCCCTGGACAATACCCCTAGTTCTGGGTGGGTGGTGGGTGGCCAGGGACCAAGAAGACCTTCTTCCTATATAGCCGGGCTCTCCAAATTTGGCAACTTTAAGACTTAAGGACTTCAACTCCCAGCATTCCTCAGCCAGCCATGAGGCATATACAAGGGCCATTTCTCACACGGGGTTGATACAGAGAACCGACCAAATTGGGATAAATAAGATTATGGTGCATGGTTTTCTCATTGTCTGTTTCCAGGACTGCTGCTTCTTTGGTCCTCAAGAGGACGGGGCTTCAAACTTGGCCCTTTTATGACTGATGGACTTCAACTCCCAGAATTTCTCAGCCAGTCATGAAAAGGCCAAGTTGGAAGACCCCTGGTCTGGATCCCAGACCGCAGTTTCATCAAAATGGCCGACTGAGGAATTCTGGGAGTTGAAGTCCACCAGTCATAAAAGGGCCAAGTTTGAAGACCCCTGGTCTGGATCCCAGCCTGCAGTTTCATCAAAATGGCCGACTAAGGAATTCTGGGAGTTGAAGTCCACCAGTCACGAAAGGGCCAAGTTGGAAGACCCCTGCTCAAGAGCAAAATAAGGAACCATCTTTAGTACTGAATCCACGTTTTTCAGCATTGGATCCTTCCCTGGTCTTGGGGGAGAGGAGACAAGGAACTGCACCACCACCAAAGAAGAAAGAAAAACCAAACGGGCCCCATTATCAGAAAGGCCGGTGGGTCCACCAGCTGAGGCCTCTCGAATTAATGGACTGCATCCAGTTTTGGTGGCCCCGTTATAAAAAAGTTGTTGAGACTTTAGAAAGTACAAGCAGAGCGACAAAAATGATTAGGGAGCCAGAGGCTAAAAAATATATCAAGAACGGTTGCTGGAATTGGGTCTGTCTAGTTCAGGGGTAGACAACCTTGGCTCTTTTATGACGGTGGACTTCAACTCCCAGAATTCCTGAGCCAGCCATGCTGAGGGGAAAGGGGGAGGTTTCCAAGCAGAGCCATGCTGGCTTAGGAATTCTGGGAGTTGAAGTCCACGAGTCATGAAGGGGCCAAAGTTTCCCTCATGCTGGCCCAGGAATTCTGGGAGTTGAAGTCCACGAGTCATAAAAGAGCCAAGGTTGCCTACTCCCAGGTCTAGTTTAACGAAGAGAAGGACGAGGGGGGGACATGATAGCAGTCTTCCAATATCTCAGGGGCTACCCCAAAGAAGAGGGAGTCAAGCTCTTCTCCAAAGTATTAGAAGGAAAGACAAGAAGCAACAGATGGAGACTAGTCAAGGAGAGAAGCAACCTGGAATTAAGGAGAAATATTGTTATATTACACCAGGTATATTACTCCGATCGCCTCTCATCATCGCAGGCCCCAAAGGCTAGGCTAATCAGCCATAAGGTGGTTTTCGATGCTACCAGCTATAATCAGAGGTGTTTGATAGATTTGTTTTTTTTAAAAAAAAAGTTTTGAAGTTTTGTTTCTTTGAGCCTTGCTACAAAAACTGCTATTGGCAATATTCAGAGGAGTAGCATCTACACTGTTAAATAAGTAAATAAGAGGAAGGACAGAATATGCGCCCGATTGTGCAAAGGCCAATGGATTTATTTCTAAACTCTTCCTGTCCTGAGTTGGAAGTAGACATTTAAAATCAAGAATATTGATAGATATTGATGCCACGGCAACAATTTTTTATTTTATTTTTTAAAAAAGACAAGCATTATTTATTAATGCAGCCGCGCCGTGACTTCACCCAGAAAAGCCCATTGGCCTCTGGTAACCAAGTGGTGAGCTGCCCTTTTACCCCTTCGTCAGAAGGGCTCACCCACATAATTAATGTTGGGAAAAAAATCTGTGGCCTATTTAATTGGGGCCAGATTTTTAGTAGATCAGAAAGATGCTTAATTGATTCATCTAACCAATGAAGCAACTAAATATTAAAATCATTCATTATATGCTGTGGGCTTGGCGTAACTTGGAGAGAGAGAGAGAGAGAGAGAGAGAGACAGAGAGAGAAAGAGAAAAAGAGAGAAAGAAAAAGAAAAAGAGAAAGAGAGAAAGAGAAAGAGAGAGAGAAAGAGAGAAAGAGAAAGAAAGAAAGAGAAAGAAAGAAAAAGAGAAAAAGAGAGAAAGAGAGAAAGAAAAAGAGAAAGAGAGAGAGAGAAAGAAAGAAAGAAAAAGAGAGAGGGAAAGAGAGAGAAAGAGAGAGAAAGAGAGAAAAAGAGAAAGAAAGAGAAGAGAAAGAGAGAGAAAAAAGAGATAGATAGATAGATAGATAGATAGATAGATAGATAGATAGATAGATAGATAGACAGACAGACAGACAGACCCCTTACTTAAATTCCATTTTCTCACTTAATACAAGAGCAGGATTTAACATCGTGCAAGAGGGTCTCCCTTTTTTTTCTAATCTATCATATTTTCTCATTTTATGCTTCTACATCTAAACTCTGACTGCATTTGTGACCATGATCCTGTCAAGCTCAAGCACTCTTCACTGAGAGTAATTCGGCACGCAGCTGTCCGTCCCCTTGGATTTTCCACTGCAAACCAGCTCTTCAAATAGAATTTTGGGAATTATGCAAACGGAGTGTGTCTCTTTAGAGTGCCATAGGGGAAAAAAAAAATCAGAGAACTGTTCCTTTGGCATATTTCCTGCTAATCCCAATGCAGATATCTGTCTCAAATTACAAAGCAAATATATATTAAGAAGGGACTCGCCTTTGCAGGCGCTCGACGGAAACCCCAGTCATTTTTCTGAGACCGCATCCATGCCTCTGAACAGTCTTTTTAGGAGCCTTTGCTCTGTAGGTAAACTTAGAAAACCTATATACATGGATCCTTTCCAAGGATGTATGTATGTATGAATCCTGCCCGGAAAGCTAAGAACATCTGATGGAGAATTCTCAGGAATTCACAAGGGAAAAAACAAACAAACTACAGTTCTTCAAATCAAAAATCCAAAAGTAGAACGGAGATGGGGTGTATTCCTCCATACGCCCCCCCCGCCCACCTCTTCCGTAA